GTGTCACAAATTTACCCAGGGTAGTTTTGGCTTGACTCTTGACGGTAGAATGGCGCTGTGTTGGCGAAGCCCTCGAGGAGCTGACAGGCTTAAGGTGCTCACTGAGCAGCATCGAGGAGTCGGTGTTGCTCGGGACTGTTTGAAATAATTGTGGAGGGACTGTTCGAGTAGACTTTGCCACGGTGTTCTTAATGAAAGGCAGTTGTGTGGTCGGTTCATTGATAGTAGGAAGATCGTGCCTAGTATTTCCCTCAAATGAAGGAGCACTAGAGGTCGTTGATATTTTGTCATTTGGCATTTCTATATGGTCCCATCCACTTAACGACTTCCTGGGGAAAGTCCTGTCTTCCCCGTGTGTTTTGTCAACGTTGAACTCGACTGCTACAGGATGGGCAGGTGTTGTCATAGAATGTTGCTGGTAGAGATTGGTGGATTCTAATTTTGAAGTTGCATTTATATTGGGACGGACGTGATGATCATGGTGCTCATATTTCGGCTTTCCATCTGTTGCATTTTCTTTGCCATTGATGGTTTCTGTTGCCAAGGATTCAAGGGACGTCGATGGTTTGGCATGATCTGGTCTCGAAGACGAATTGTGGGAGAGATTGTGATGATGATGGTGGTGAATATGCTTCTGTTTTGTTTCCTCAGTACTCCTATGAATTTTGTCATCTTTGGCTTCTGATGTTATGGAATCAGAGGAGACTGTTGGATACACTTGAGTGTACGTGACAACCGTGGATACGTCTTCATCAGGTTGTTGCCATGGCAGCATTATACTCTTCATCTTAACCAGAATATCTACTGCTCCTTGAAAGGAAAGAACTTGGCTCGTTTTTGTATTTGGAGTGTCGGGGTTGCTAGTTGAGAAATTATTAATTGCTTGATGGGTCTCGTCTTCGGTATGAAGAGCCTCCCAGCCTTGAGAGGAGGAATCTCTGGAGTCTGGATGCTTCGTGGTAGCTGATGGAACAAAGGGCTGCTCGTGAAGCAGAGTCCCAAGCGTAGTGGGCCATGCCCGTCGGGGTTCGTTCTCGACTGCCTGGAGGTTGGCTGTGGTTTTCTGCATTCCGTGTTCTTGCATTGTTTCTGTCTTACCATCATCCATTTCCTGATGGTCATGAGTGCCACCTGAACCATCCATTGTTACATGTGGGGGCGAGAGCTTGGGGGCACGGACAAGAGGGAGATGTACAGCATGGTCGGATCTTACAGAGGGATCACCTGTTGGGAAATTATGTCTGAGCTCTTCCTCTGCCTTCTTTTTGACATCTTTTTGGGTGGGTTTATCCTCCGTTGCTGTTTTGTCAGAGGATACGTTTGCCAGATGATTCCTAGAGGTGATGCTGTCATCAGCTCTGGGAGACACGTCCCTGGCTAGATGCAGTTGGGGATGCCGATATCCCGAATTTGATTCGTTTTTATTTAGATGACTCTCTCGAAAGATTTCCGTGTCATTCTCTGGTGCTTCAACACCCACTTGAGGATGCTGGCGAGGATGATGATGATGGCTACGATGCTCATCTCCTGTTTTGTTTCCAGCTCCCAAGCCTGTTTCAGGACTTTCTGAATCTTGTATGCCATCGTTGTTTATTGGGGCGGCCTCCATTGCCATGAACTCCGGCAGTGCTGCCCTCTGTTGTTGGTCAGAGTGGAGAAATTCGTGGCTGCTTGCAGAAGACAACGTCCTCGGGATGTGGTGTGTGTGATTCCGATGATGGTGAATGTGAGTTCCCTGTCCTGATGACGACACACCTGTAGGGATGAAATATACCATTCCAGGAGACTAATGAAATTCCCTTAGAGTAGATTCATGTCTTCAGACAAAATATCGATGTAGCCTATGTCATTGCCCATTTATGCGTGCCATCTTAGTCTATGAACTACATTTCATTTTTAATTAACTGAACCAGCTGAAGAACTTCCGGTTGTCACTGTAATATTCCCAAGCAAACATTGAAGAATTACACGTTCAAATCGGTTCAGTATATTTTCTAGTAATACGTACATAATTCAGGTTGCGTAAATGAAGATGTGATGGATGCAAGTACGCCCTCAATTTGACGGGCACATTATTTTTTCCCGCGCGCTTCAGCAATCTCGCAGGACAAAACAGTGAAATCGTCAATTCTTTCAAGGAAGAAGTTAATCCTTATTTTATCCAGCATAATTGATAGTTTTGTGAAACAGCCTACAAAGTTCAAGTTAGTGTAATCATCCAGGACTGGGTGAGTCTAGTTTACAAATCATAAGTTTTGGATTTTATATGATCTTTTTGGTGAAAAGCTTGGCTCTGTTTGGTTAGGATTCAGATCACGAGTAATGCTGTACACAATGTGCATTAAGTGCACGCAAGCACAGTAAACATTGCATTCACGTGCGTTATTTGGATATGTGCCCTGCTCTCGTGTATGTTATGCATGAACTATTTCTGTGGGCATGAGAAGTATAGTTTGGACTTCTTGTATTCATTATGCAAGGTGTTTATTTATGGTTATACTGACGCATAAATGACTTGATTTCCGTTGCTGGTATAAGTTTTGTCCTTGACTGAGTCACTGCTGAAAGTCTGTCGCCTAGCTTCAAGCTCCAGGAAACCCTTAGGCTGCGCAAGTAGGTACCATCACATCCATCTCATTAATGGGTTGAAATATTGATGTAGAGGTTGGAGAAATCGCACAATTGAATTAAAACACATTCTGAATTGCGTTGCCTTTCTTCCGAAGATTTGAATTTTCGCTAAAAATGCAGGAGTTCTATGCAGTTTTGCGTTCCTCTTGTTCACATTGCAACGGACACTCCTACGAAAATGTGGAAGTAGGTATGGGGCGTCACAATAAAAATCAATCGTTGCACAGGGATGTTCAGAAAATGACGCATCTGAAGGCAATAGATTTTCTGTTACCCTGTTGTTTTGGGCCATTACGTAGACTTTTACTTGAAGTACAAAACATACAATTTTCAATTTTTGTATAGAAATCGAGTTAAAGGGGAAAGAAGTAAATGGTTAGAATTATGGCTGTTGCTGGGTCGTAGTTTTATGGCAGGGTTGATTCAGTAAGTGTTACGGTTAGATGAGGGTATTAAAGGGTTAACCATGTACATGAACATCACACTGCAGAAATTCAATAGTGGTATAACGGTACAACAGGTGTTGCACCTGAGGAAACCTAGCTACTTCCTTTAAGAAACGATAGAGTACCTGGCTGCTTGCAATACGTTTTAGCCCTTTTGGGCAAGCCATGTCATTCTTATATACATTTCTCTATCCACCCAGAAGTATAAATCGGTTTTGACATTAGCTAGGGAGCAACCTGTGATGGACCGGCATCTCATCTAGGGGTGAACAAATTTTCAATCGTTTCATGTCCAGAAAATCCGAGAATACTAATCTAATGAACCACGGACTAATTTTATGTCAATAAATTAAAAACTCAGGATTTCAGCAGAGGCCTTGAAATCTGTGGACTACAACAGACCATACTCATCACATGGCAAATAAAGCTAAGTAATTCTAAGATCTCCCCAAAATACCCCATTTTGAACCATGTTTGGGGCAGGTCTTGGCACCTCGTCGGTAATAAACAATGGCAACAAATGGATGTCTTTGCATAAAAGCCAGTTGCATTTCCTGATCACTTACGAGTGACATTCATATCAGAGCGTGCAGAAAATATGTGACAACTGGGTGGAAAAGGCCACATCTGACATCTTGTCCGGTTTAGATAAAAATGATGGATGATGCTGAAGTGCTCACGTGAGGGTCTATTGTCCCTTCGCAATGGGAATTCCAGGCCACTTACATTTTCACCTGATAAATCACCCGAAGTATTAGTTATACTAATCGTCTAGACATCAGTGACATTGCTGTAACCTCTACACCGGCCTACATATAAAGCCATTTCTAAAACTTCCTGGTCTCGTGTCGACATCGACTTTGGGCTCTATCTTAGTTCAGAGAAGAAACCTTAACTTCAGCTATTTCAAAACAAAAGGCTGCGGGAATTGCTCCTTCATTTAATGATTTATTGCTGTCAAAAGTACATGGCAGTACAACGCAGAGGCCTGTATTGTAATGGCGAAAGTACTTCACCTACGGGAATGTGTACAGAATAGCTGGCTTTTGGCTGTTCTCAGCGATCCCTTCATTGCTTGGTGTTATTACGAGCAACTTCCAATGACCACATGCCAAAATTCATCTGTTAGTGAATCACAACTTTTGCTTCGTGTGAGAAATTCTTTTACAGTGGTCTTCCACAAAGAACACCCGAGACAAAAACCTTATGGCTTGGGGAAGTCTGGTTCTCAGACCTGAAAATTCCCCGTGATGTATATAAACGGTTGGTCCAATGGTCATTAGAGACCAACTAAAATAGAGCATGACCCATGCAAGACGTGTGACGCCGAAATGTAAATGCAGCTCGCGCTTGTCCGTCAATTTTTAAAAATCACCGCTATGCAAAAGTAGCAACAAGTATTCCAAAAGCATATATACAGGAAAAACATAGTTGTCAGAACTTTGTGACTTGTGAGGAAAATCAGAAATAAATGTGCACATTTACACACATTAATTAGAGACTACTAAAAATAAAGTAGAATGGATTAAGAAAAATTCTAATAATTGTGGAAACAGTGGGGAAGAGTCGTGATTAGTTACAAGCAGGGTTTTAACATCATCGCTGCTTGACACTTACTGGTGCTAATACTGTGGACTGTAGTACTTACAAGTGGCAATTATAAATCATAAGTTTGCTAAACAACACAGTGTGGTGTAATTCTCAAAACTTTGTCAAATTATACAGTACCCAGACCAAACAAGGAAAGTTATGACATACAAACTTACTAAATGTGCACTGTCATATGTTATTTAAACCGTCTTTTGCTGACAGTGTAGGCCTACAACAATAGAGGTTCCACAATAAATTCTGGCAGATACTCCTCCGTCGTGTAGTGAAGATACATATATCACTTTAGCAATGAAGCAGAGTCGTCACGTACACTGAAGGCAGGTATTAACCTCGAGCTCATGAGTGGAACGTACAATAATGGAAATCTTTTGTTTGAAGATGTTTTTTGTCACTAGAAAATATCCCGGATATATTTCACATGGCAAAAACACCTGCATTCAATGAGAGCTGTGTAACCCACTTACACGGTGAAACATTTGAATCGACATTAAAGATAATGAGGTTGGTTAACTTATGAATTTCTCAATGATTACTTGAAGTGTTGCCGTAAAGACCACTCTCATTTTGCGTACAACGTGTATGAGCATCCAAAGTTTGAAGAAATGTCATGTTTCGCTTGTTTGTCGATTATACCTCAAATTCGTTTAAAATGGAAATTAATGTTATCTCATTTAGGCCTATTTAAAATGAGGTTGCATTTCATTTAGGAATACTCGTTTTATTATGTGGTGTTCTAAAAGCTGCGTGAAATTTTTAACACTTTGTGAATGATTCTTTTACTTTTTACCGACGGTCAACCATAGTTCAATCAGCCATTTGTAGAAAACAAACGGCTGTGACGTCAGATGAGCAGAGCATGCCAACCAGCAGACGATGAAGTACCACTCGCCTAGATTTTAAAGGTTTAAGAGAGCTCACTGACCGAATCAAATCAAAGTCAGATATTAGGCGGTGCAGACAGTTGGAAAGGGAAATGTAAGTGGGGATCTGTAATACAGAGCACTAGCTGAGGAATGTTGAAGTAAACACTCAGCCTTTGAGGAAAGGTTTCTTGTCTTGAGTGTTAGACATAGTCGTTTAAACAATGCGTATAAGTCCCTAACAAATTCTGATGTGATCTCATGTGGTTGTTGGATATGATCAGGATAAGTTGAGGTCATTTATTCAGAATTAACGGGCCCGCTGTGTGAATTTTGCCCCCCTTTCCCGATGAGTAGCCACCTCCACATGGCCCAAGGTAAACAGCAGCATTTGGTTTGTGTTACTGCACACGTCAACATTATAAGTACGATGCGATCCACGTTTATCTTGGGCAACCCAGAAAATCAAGACTTGGGTGAAATATAATGGGGTATCCTTCACGAACCTTTAAACTGTATCACACATTTCATACAATGTTTAGAGTTTCTAAAACAATTTCCTGATCATTAAATTATAGAAAAATACTGCAATCAAAATTTTTGGTCTTCAGGGTAAAACTTACCGTCGCTTGTCATCAGCAAACAGGATACCAAGACTACGATGACAGCGGTAGGTGCATCCATAGCCGATGATGGGCCGGTAGTCGCTTGGAGCACTCACCGTAGATCTTAACAAATCCAGACTATCATGAACAACCCCGGCCTGGAGTGAACTCCTAAGCAAATTCAAGCAACTTCTCCTATATATACACCAGGTAAACTAGGTGAAACTGTCTGGCGGTCATCCGACATGCACTGCTAGTCACGGGAACAAAACGTGAAAAGTCAATGCCACTGGCTTACCTTGTCAGCAATCAACAAGGATCATTTCAAGCGCAGGTACCCTTGCACTTGTAGCCGTTTTAAGAAAAAAATCTCGGCAATTAGGCTAGGGATCAAAACAATGAGCTGACCTAATCCATCAATCTTAGTCCCTCCGCCCCCCCCAAAAAAATTAAGCCACCGCCGGAATATCACAGGGGTAAGGTTGAAGCCCTTAACAGTTTGAAGGGATTAAAACCACATTTAGGAGAGCCAGACCGTATTTTACGTCGCAATACTTCCAGTGCTATCAAATGCAGAAATAGGTTTGAGATGTATTATACCACTGGAAGAAAAATAAACAACCACGGGCGGAAGCAAGGTAAAATCGGTTCATCCACCTAAACCATAACAATTGACAGCTTATAATTTGTTTTCTAAGTTAAGTCTAATATCGGAAAGCCTATGGAAAATATTCAAAATGAGGACTGCCAAAATTAACCAAACTTGAAACATTCAATAGAAGAGAATATCCTAAACCAGTTACTAGCACTCATTGAACTCTTTTTCAGACTTCTGTAGTTCCCATTGGTACTGTGAATGACATTTCAGAAAACAGCCCTTCGGTAAAATCTTTTTAACTACGTATAGATGTTACTTCGCCCAGTCACTTGTGATAAACTAACTTAGACTTCAATGGACGATTTCTTATCTGGAAAATATTCCTACATTGCTCCTTTCCTTTCCACCCTTAACTAAAATTTGAAAATAAAAAACACCACACCAACAGGACCTAATTCCGTTCAAAGAACGCAGGTTCGATTCCATTCCCATCGAGTTTTTTTTATTCAAGTCTTCTGTTTGTTTTTACATTCAGAAACGGCCCAAAAGAGACTACGTGGGCCTAAAATGCTCCACTCTTAATGCATATTGTTGCCGGTGCACTACACGGTTGTCAGTAAACACTGAAGGGTTAAGGCTTTCGCCTTGTACTGTTAGTTTTTCCTTCTATAAAATGTGCACAAGATTAGGTCCAAAACATTGCTACAGTTTTTAGATTGGCCATAGTTTGAGGACTTCATTTAGGGATGATCACTTTAAGTAGATTCATTTCCAAAGCTTACCCCGAACGCTACGGTTACGCACTAAAACGTTAGTTGAAAATGCAAGTAGAGTGAATGAGCTTTATTTGATGTCTGTCTCACGGGCCCATAGGAGAGTTTTTCGAAGTGACGATGTTTATCATTATTATAGCTGTTGGTGACAGCGTATTTGCTGGGCTGCAACCGTCTGCCTCCTCAGATGAAATTATTCCCCCAGGCCCTGAAGCGGGTCAACCGACACGTTTGAACGACGCTGAAGTTCGAGTCACGGTGACATGATCAAGCACCAGACAGAATCACATCCGCTGGGCTGCGCTCTTTTAACAGAGAACAGCTCCCTCTCTTTGAATAGGACATAATAGCCAGCATCAATCAAGTCACAGTGTCTGGTGTCGAGTGTCGCTTGCTTTTGTAACTTGACATCTCCGAAGACTGTGTTAGTTCCCTGCATGATCGATGCACTTATATATAGACAGCATCAATAGATTGTAACTGGTTGAATGAAAACAGTTTCCTTCTTCACTTTCCAGGGTCTAATCCAGTTTAAAATCAGGTTCACGGACAGAGTCAGTGGTAACCGTGGCTCCTCTCGGTCAGGCTTTTACGAGTGCAATAGTGCACGGCTTTTCCCTTTGAAGTAGTTTTGTTTTCATCTAAATGAGGAAAATCACAAGGATGGTCTGACGGTACTGACTGGAGTAGATCTTGTGTAGCCACGTGGCTTCTGTGAGTCCTGTGCGCAAAAATAACCTACATGTAATATCCCTTAATCTGGAAACTCTTTCTACGAACTGCAAATCATACTATTTGACCTATGACCCATGTCAGGAGATTTATTTATCTATTTAATTAGTTTTCACCTTCAACGGATAATTTTCATTCATCGTATTTGTTTCTTTGACACATGTAAACAGAAAAGAAGCTGGGCTTTTAATAACCATTATTCGTGTTTTTTTTTTAATTAAAGTTTATTTCACTTTGCAATCCGTAGTTCAAAAGTGAAGTTGCAGCAACAGAGAACACTTTAAGAGTAAATAATGGCATAAAACTTACTTAATTCGCAAATGTTAATTATACAAATATTGAATGGAAAATCAGTTACAGAACCACACCATACAGTCATGCAGACGAGCAATGACAGAGGTACTTAATTCCAAACCCAACACCTGAGGATTTCTTCACTCAACTTAAAAATAAAATTGTCACAGGGTCACAACAATGATGACTGACGAAATAGATCTATATTAACGGGTTGAAAACTGGAAATAGCCACGGAGATCAGAAATTTACAAGGTTTATCTTCAACGGATTAGAGGTGCGCGTTTACAGAAAGGAACCAGGTATACCCTCTGACGTAAAAGACGGACACCCGGGGACCCTCATAGGATACGACCCCCTAATAAAACAAAAGCGGCAAAAAATCAGTCAACAATCCGCGCACATCCTTGCACATAAGTTTAAGCTATTCTTAGGAATAAGATTAAACACACACATTAACATATCAGCTAAATAAACACCGCAAATCATAACAAATTCAGACTCACTATTTACAACTCTTACTCAACTGCAAAATGACGCTGTCTGATGGAGATAGGGGTTTCTTTCAAACACACACACAAACACGTACATTTATATTAAGTTTTGCTCAGGCAATTTTGAAGATGCAGCACCCCATTTCGTGGTTTCATTTTCAACTCCAGGTTTTCTCTGTGTTACTGCTTTGCCTATTATTTTAATAACTGAATTGTTTTCTCAGCGAAAAGTCACATTTTTGTCGACTTGACTCCAGTCCCAACGGGTGAATGACTCGACCTAAGTCACTACAAGCAACTGACTTAACTCGACTCCAGACCCTCCTCAGAGGAATCGACTTGACCGAAAGCCAATAAGACCTCGAGTCTCGAAAATAAAAGCACCGGTACCGATGTCTTATGTTCATGTCACGTTGTAGGGGTACCTTATACCTCGTATATCTCACGGCTCTGTATCGTGTGATGCTAATCCAGAACTGGACTGATCTGTATATAATTTATTTTTGATCAGTGGTTTCAGCATTGCTTTAGGCTATTTTTTGTCAAGCAATGGCTGGAAGGCCGGCTAAATTTATACCCTGATTTCCCGAAACATTACTCAAACATAAATGAACAAAGGCCAGTATTTTAAATAAATAGAAATAGCTTTGTATAATGAAATTAGTTTAGAATTATTTGACGTTCTTGACAAGCAGCAAAAAAAAAAACAAACAAGACAAGACCCGAGGCAGAATCAGATCTAAGACCAAAGCCTCACTTTCTGACAAGAGCCAGCTTGGCTGCTCTCCGTCCTGGAGACTATGCAGGGAACGAGAATCCGTCTTCTGTTTATTTACTGTATCACGTTTAAATATTTTTGATTCGAATCGACTTTAACTAAGCATTTGATTTGACTCGTTTCAATTTGTTTACATTACGACTCGACACGAGTCACCAAATGACTTGACTCGATGACTTGACTCGGATCACAACGTTAAACTGACTCAACTCTAGTCAAAAACTGCAGTGCAAGAAATCCCGGCTGGCATAGATAACGAAGTTTAACCATAGTTAACGGCATTGCGCTTTGTGCCTTGGCATACAAGTGGACTTGAAGCAGGCGAGCTTGTTTCGAGTCATTTTCTGGTTAGTCTGTGGCCTTGACTTTCCCTGTAATGCTTTTCTTTAACAACGTTTCACTATTTCAGATTTTTCTGCTAAAGGATATAAGCTAAGCATATACCCTAGCAGTGACCCTGCCCTTCTTTCCAGGCTGATCATGTTCAGGGACCATCGTAGTGTGAAACTTAAACCCTATATGAAATTCGAAATCGTTGGTTGAATTGGGTGTGCCTCGTTGGGCCAAAATTAAAATAATTGAGTGGAGACAAGTTAGAGGGTTTGAGACAATGTGTAGTAAATGAGACAGATTTCAACGGTGACCACATTTCCTGGGACACCGCCCCTGCCGACTTCGACAACGCGGTGATTAAGGTGCAGCAGCCACCGCAGACCCTGCAGCTTTGCACTTCACGACGACAACACCAATGACCACGCCCCCAAGGATCACAGAGGCTGCCACGCCGATCACGATGCCTGCAATCGCTCCCGCAGACAAGGGGATGGGCCCCTGGGATGGTAGTGTTGCTGCGAGAAGAGAAAAAAACCCGATCGCGACTAGTCACTAGTTAACCCCGAAATGTGTTTTGCACTAGCTGTATCGTAGGTCTCTTCTTTTGAATACCATCCCTACGTAGTTTCAAATTCACACTGCACAAGCTGAACAAGCAGTTTCGGAGAATGTTTGACTTGATCATGAATCCTTCTGCGGGGGGGGGTTAAGGAACGGGTAACATGAACCCCAAAGAAGGGTTCTTGGCTTGTTTTCTGTTTGTATGTAATAATTTGAGAAAGAAAAAATGTACTATTGTTTTTAAGCGGGGGATGTCTAATTTTTGTACTTCACCAAAGCATGTAAAGAGTCTCATAATTTAGCCCCTCCCCTTAGAATAACCCAAAAATAACTTTGTGAAAAATTGGTTCCCGATACATCATATGGCAAAATCCCCCGGAAAAGCTCCTTGAAAACACATCTGTTTTATTTCCATTATTATTCACATTTTGTTATAGGAAAAACCTCTGCTGGTTTTGTCTTCTACTTACCAATTGCTGTGTGCTCCGGCTCTGGAGGTAAAGGGAAAAGACAATTAAAGTCAATAAAACAGAAGCTGAAAATACTACAACAATTCAGTGAAAACATCTTGGAATTATATCCTTAATTGGTGAAACAAGGTAGTGACACTTTGGAAACTCAACAAAGCATTTCTAAGGTTCTGGGCGATTGCTTTCCATGTATTATTGTGAAACCATGGCTGGGAGTAAGCAAATTGACTTTTCTTCCCTTTTGTTCTACTGCAGGAGGGGTGGAACGGATATTTCGATCTGGCATGTGCGTAGCTGGCAATTTTTCCCCGAAAGACTTTGACAGTGGTTCTACACTCAGGCCAATCTTCACTCCCTCATCCAGTACTCGACTGCGTGGTGAACTGTAAGTGTGTTCGAATGACCAACTAATTACTAACTGTCAAAAGTCATTCTAATTTTTATTATAGTTTAGGCGTCTTCTGTGGCATAACTGGACTTTCGTGATACTGACTCTCAGTGATTGCGACAAACAATAAGTCCAGGGAAACCTGATGAAATTATGAAAATGGGAGGGCGGGGGCAATCCAGCAGCCACCTCGGGACAGGTCTATTCCTGCCAGAGACATGAAGTGAAGCCCATGCCCCCTCACTTATTTTCAGTGGTGTAAATCTGTGCTGGAAATTGGGGAGGGGGACGGAGAAAGGTAAAGGTGGGGGATGACTTGCCTGACCATGGAAATTTAAGGGGGGGCTGGCGACACCGTATACACTATATAGAGGGCGATGTTTATGATATGGATGAATATCTGTAACGTGCATCAAATTCACGCAGACTTGCATCAGAATGGGATATTTATGGCCTTTTAAAGTTGTTTTCCTTTTTAGTGATATTGTAAACAATTTAGTCTTTGGAAAGTTAAAAAAATTCTCCACAATCCACTTTTAATTGTTTTTCCCATCACCAGGGATTTACGCCCATGCTTATTTTCTTGGAATCGCCACTCGCCTGTGACTGTTGTCGATGGATCTGCTGCATTTGTCGACGCATCTGCTACAAATGCTGTCGATAAATCTGTTGCATTGGCCGTCGATTCATCTGTTGCATTGGCCGTCGATTCATCTGTTGCAGTGGTTGTCGATACATCTGTTGCAGTGGCTGTCGATAACTCTGCTGCATTGGTCGTCGATAAGATTACCGTCGTCACATCTTCAGCGGATGTCGTACCATCGGGGGAATCGGTTGTGGGTGGGTTACCTCCCGCTACAGTGTCCGAAACTAGGGTGGTGGCATCATTCGGCGCACCTGCGGTGGTCGTGGTGTCTTTGGTCGTGACATCTCCGGTTGGTTCACTGGCGGTCTTGGCACTGTTGGCTGTGACATCTCCATCCGTGGTTGTGATTATTCCGTCTGGACTGGATGCTGTATTTGTTGCCGTGTAGGCTGAGTTTGTAGTCGTGTCAGTCGGTGCTGATGTCGATACGACTGACACTTCTGTTGAAGTACTGCCAGGCGCAGCCACAGGCGGCTGTGCAATGATTTCTAAACACGGAACAAAGTCATTTGTCATTTATCTGCAATAAGTTTAAGCTTTGGGGAATTGTTACGGTGAAGTCGAATGGTGTCTTGTGCAGGCCTAGAAGTAGCTTAGCCAGGTTTATTATAGTACGGGGGTGAGTGGGGAGCAAGATTTTCTGGGGGCTGCAGGGCCCATTTTCTTACAATATACTATAATAATTGTCTTTACTTTCAAATTTCCAGCGAAGCTGATGGGGCTATGATTTTTTTTTCATGGGGAAGGGCAGAAGCCCTTGAGGCCTCGCTGGGCTACATTACTGACAATGGTGCCCAACTCTTTGCAGAAGGTTTGTGCATTTTTTTCAACCATGGAAGAGGAAGTCCAAAGGGAACAAGAGAATTTTTCCGTCTTCAGTGGTCAGTCAGTATTTGTCCTAGGTGGTAGCCTAAGTGTCCGTGGTTATTCTCTTGGATTGTGTTGAATTGTAATAAATTTTTGGTGTAACAAACTGAACACGACTCTGTGTGTATATATATGCTGTTGCATGGTATACAGTACATGTCTTTGTGAACATATGCGTAGGATAATACAGCCTTGGTTGGTTACTTTGATCGGTTACAAAATGGGAATAACTTAACTACAAAACTTGACGTCTTCGAACCACGTGTCAAATTTGTAGGAAGAGAGTCAAGCTATAAACAAATATGCAGACAATCAAAGTCCTGACATTAAAAAGTGGTCATTCTTTATTAATTCCCCAGGGGAAGGTCCTACCCGGGAGATTTTGATCTCTTTTCAATTATGTCCCCTCACCTGGCACGAGAAGTACTAGAACAGCGATAAGTTGGAGGGCGCTCTTTCCCATTGTGAAGCCAGCTTGGACCTTTGCTCGCCTTCTTGTAGAAAGACCTTGGAAACAGAGATGACATGACTATGGTGATTGCAAACAAACATGAATATTTCCACAAAAAGTTTTAAATCAAGATTTGTGCACCTGTGGATTGGGAGAACAGTTTGTTTGAAGGAAAATTTGGATACAAAGTAATGTATAAATTATGCGATGTGCACATAAAGGTGAGAGAAAAATGTTTTTGCACCGTGTATGAGGGCGCTACGACCGAAATACGCATTACCCGTTGACAATGAGTTCCGGTTACTTGCCTGTTTGGAATGCCATAGGGTGCACAGTTTGAACACTGACGGGGTGGTGGAGCACGATATGACCTAATACACTGATGTAAGCGTACCGCTGAGCAATTGTCAGGCGAGTTGCAAGTGGTAAAGCAAGCCCCCATAAAAAAGAAAGAAAATGAAAAACAAAAATACTGGAAAAAGGACAATATGGAAAAAAAGGATGAAAGCGAATGAAAATCAGCAATTTCCTTCCATGTACCACCGTCATTTCTTCATCAGTTTACTGCTGATAAGTGCTGAACTTAAAAAATGCTGAAAAAAATTCCTGGTGATACCTACAGTCCCGGCTTCCTTGGAGTATAACTCGCATAATATACCTGACATTTACAGTGGCAAATACACTTCTATTTAATTAAACACCAGCTTGTGAACCCAACAGCAGTCCAGTGAACGAAAATTACATCTCTTGTTTCCTGTGAATGAACATTCAAGATGAAATATTTTGTTTATTGTATCCAGGATTGCGTGAGTGGTGACCGAACTGGATGACCACACTGCGACCGATAGATGGAACATCAAAGCCGTGGACTAGCTCACGCAGTTGATATGTCATCGAAACAGCCGCCATACCAAAGGTGTGAGCCTGTCCAAAAGTTGAGTGCCTGAAATTGCGTCACGGACAGGATGCGTGATCGGTCGTTCAGACTTCCTGGTGAACTGTACTGTTAGTAGAGCGACTTCTCTTTGATCGTTGTCAAGACTTTTGTCTCCCCTGCTGCACCTGTTGGTAAGGGTTCTACATCCGCCATTTTGCATCTTGCCACGATGTCTCGCCTCGGGGATCTCGCATTTCATATCCTGCCTCGTGGATCTCGCGTGCGCATTAACTCATATTAAATGTGATACACCGTATCAAACATAGATTATTTATCAGAATTATTGTTTAAATCTTTCGCCTATGAAAATTATATGTAAATAATTGTTTGTCAGTTAACATTATGCAAATACGTGAACTCGTAAATTAGGAGCAAAACTGAATCATATAATACACAAAATAAGTATATGAAGATTAAACGATACGCACGTTTAATCTAGTTTATGGCGCGCAATCGCCGAAGTTTGTCCGGGCCTTCCCTTCGCTGTGGTCAAATTGTAAAAGTAAACAACACACAAGACGGTCCCTTAACATGCGTGAGACACCTGGAGGCGGAAAGCTTTCACTGGCTATAACAATTCTGTCACGCGTCGAAAGGCACGCGATTGGCCGAAAGTTGTTATAGTAACAACATGCGGTTTTTCTCCATCTAGCGGTGCCTTGCTGGCACGTACGTACATGGTCACACTGCAAATCAGCGGACTTTTGCCTGCAGTCTGTCGAAGAAAAACCTTTTCCCTCCACCTCCTCTTGCAACCGCCAAGTAAGGACTTGCTGGTTCTGTCTGTTGAGTTCAGGATTTCTTCCGGGAGGGGGCGTATCAGCCCCACAGAAACGAGGCTACAAATTTGAACAATCGAGTCATTTATGTCATTTTTGGGTTAGCATGCGTGAGTTCTCAGTGATGTTATGGGTTAAAACATTTAAGCTGTCGTGCTACATGGTCGTTGTTGATCTTATGTTTCGTTATTAATGACAGTTTGAGATAAATAATGTAATAGTTACATTAAAGATGAAAGTTGACAAACAGACAGCGCCCCAAAAGGTTCTTGACGAACAAGAGATTAATCACTTAATGTTATCAATGTCTAGCCAATTTACTTAATAGATCTTTGGGAACAATTAATACATTATGTAATATGTAAAAGTAGAAAAAGATTTGTCGTTCATAATTGTTCCAAGACTTTGAGTACAAAGAAATTAAACAAAGATTTTATTATAAAAAAGTTTAAACAAGTAACAGAATAAAAAAGGACTCCTGAACCCCTGATACAGAAGAGTACAGCATCCCTCTCGGCAGTTTTCCTTTCTGGTTTTCGGTTATTGCTGTGCCATAAAAATAATTCTTTTAAGCCACTTATTTACACTTGGTGCCTCAAAGCTTTTAAGTAAATCAATATGATAGAGCGTGAGTGAAATTTTAGTATTTCATGGGTAACATTTTGAGCAAATTTTACAAAGTTACAAAATGAACGCCGAAAATCTCTCCCGGAAGTAACGCAGTTTGACTCATGTAATTAATGGAATGCACTACTATGACATCTAGAAAAGTGCAAGTTGTTTGACTCCGTCCTCAACCTTTTGGGGGGTTTGTCAACAAATTCCGTGGGTTCCTTTTTTAAAGTGTGTTAGGTGAGAGCTGCTTTTAAACAAAAAAATTGAATCTCACAAATCTGTGCTCTTGGCGTCATACTCCAGTAAACTGCAGGGGTCCAATGCCAGGGTCTGTGCGAGTACCCCTGACCAAAATGAGAATCGTCACTAAACTTCTACTCAGGGTTTGGGGAATGGCCAAAATGGCCATACACTGTTATTGCCCAGTCCTGTAAATGGGTCATCGGGGGAGGCAGTCACCAATAGAAGGGTACAGGTGCTTTACATTCAAGAGAAATAATACGATTTCACTAGACCATCTAGTATGATGAGGAAGCACTTCTACTTCAAACCAAAGGTGCTACTTTTCCACGCAGCGAATACATGTCACGTGTCTTTGAAAGGGCCTTTATGAAGACACTTTAAAGTTAATGATCAACCCATAACTGTGACCCCCAACAACGAGTCTATACGAACTTATCAATAATCACTGGCAATACGTCTGTTAAGAGCCTGATAGAAGCTGAAATTTCCTTTGGGCAAACAAGTTTTTTTACCCGTTGCTTTGTCAATTCAGAAACCATTCACGTCAAGGGGAATCGATCTGGGAGCAGAATAAAAGAATTTTTCTACGGCTTCTGAGCATCTACGATCCCTGCATGAGCTCCCTGATCGACCTTTATTCAGAAGGTCATCTCGGCCAGCATGTCAGTTGCTCACAACAATTATGATGGCTTTCGAAGGACCCCGAGTAGGACAAAAAATTCACAACTTGGCCCCAAATAGTGTGTTTGGCGTCCATCTGTTCGCATTAAAATTCCACTTCTCGCTCTTCGGTCAAAAGTAACCATTCACATCAATAATTCGTGCAAAAACATCACATCTTGATGGTATTGCTATCGGCGCTATTTTACCAGGCTAGTATAGGTATACTTGGAGAGATGTGTACAGTACATGTTCGCCGCGATGAGTCTGACGCACATCCGTAAAAAGAGAAGGATCACTCCTCAGAAAATAAAACTTGCTGCGAAAAAAATCATGACGAAACCTTTTTTTTGCGGCTTAGGGCGAGTGGTGACATTTTTACGCCACTGACGTCAATATTCATGGTTTTGACTTAGAAGGAAGTAGTTCTAAAGATTCTTAGTGTCCCCTCAAAGCTACCATGGACATTAGGACTGAAAACGGAACCTCAGCTCAATATAAATTTTCCTGGAATGGTCTTGGATGAATGTTGCACAAAAAACCCACTAATGTATGTATTAGTGTGATTACTGTAGTTGACGTTGGTTGAATGTTGTTATTCCAATATTGCGCAAGTTTTGAATTATGTTTGCCAGGAACATTATTCATCGCCACGTACTGCACTGACTGACACACAAAGGAAGTTTGGTTCACTTGAGGTTCAATTCAGACAATGGACAGGTGCGTGTGTTAAACGCGAACTAATTGAAATCAAAAGGTGATGTTGTGGCCAAAACATTGTCACCAAGTACCGGTTTCCACGTCAACATGACAACAAACTATACCAACGTAGGGTTCACCAAGAAACTGTACTGTGCTTTCCCTCCTCTCCTTCCTGCTTGTTTGAAGCGGGCCACCGTCCCCGAAAGGCTTAAAAAGGTAGGATAATGATCCAGAACAGTGTGTATGGAGTACACAATAAAATTGGGCGCCATGTTCTCAATATAATTATAGTAGCCCTCCAACTATATAGTCACCCTTCAAAATTCGTTTCACTGGGTAACCTTTCCTCTCGGCCTTTACATATTTTGAATTTTTTTCAGAACGAAACATTCGAAAGAAATGTTGGAAGCAAGTATTTTGAGGAGATATTTTGTACAAACATGATATATGCTACGACAAGCTCAGAGAATGTCAACACTTGAGCAAACAATGGCAGAACTCTTCTTTTGGGAAGGGAAGCTTATAGTCACACACAAGCAACACAAACTTCTTACTCTAAGGGTATTCTGTATTGTCGGAGCAGAAAACATGCATTCTCTTCTCGGTTTTATTTTCACTGTTTCAATTTTTTCTTAGGCCCTACATGAAGAATTAGCGCGAGCCCATATAATTTGAGCATTAAAAAACGATTTTGAATGAGGCCAACCACTTTCATTTTATTGTCTATATATAGTCTCATCCCGGAACACCATCTCTCTCTTCCTTGGCGTTCCTATAAGACAAATGGGTTGCCAAAATAGCAGGCGAGTGTAATACCTCCCTTGCCGAAAAATGGAAAAGACTAGCGATCTTTTATGGGACAACGCGTGCTATTTCCCCGTCATTCAGGTTCATTAGAGTTGCAAACGGTCCAATCAAATTAGGTTTACACCGATGTTTACAATCACACTGTATTCTCAACTGCGGTGCAAGAGTTGGGAAAAATCACAAGCTTGCTCGTCTGGGAGATGAACCCCTGACTTCTTATTTTCTTACTGCATACGTCTTCAGAATGACGAGATATATTCCGGCCCATTATAAACCTTATCTGCATTACGCTGTTGGTTTGGTGTATCAGAAAATCAAAGCTGGGCGCTTTTCTCAATCTGCAACACAGCAGCTTTACTGAAGCAAAGGGAAGAGTAGGGGAAATTCTTAACATGATGTAATCGGGACATTATCACATCAATACAAATTCCGTTTGCTGGTGTCCACAATAAACAAGCAATCAGCAACCATAATATTACTGAGTTGCTGTAACAACTATTGTACTGGCCGTGGTCAGTTGGCATTAAGTCTTAATCTTAACTGCAAAGAAAGTCAAACTTGCCTCGAATACAGGTTATGAGCGTCCCAAAAATTCCTTACAAAATGTGCTCGAGAAATAAATTCATTGCACGAAAAAAAATCAAGGAATAGCCAACCTATTACCTCTCGGTGGGACCGTAACGTCACACAGTTTTCAAAATACAGGTCAATATCATCGTGAGAATTACTTCAAAATTAAAGAATACGGCAACGCATGAGAGTTGTAGGTCGAGATTATAAAAATTAATGACAGTAGTCATTAAAATAACTTGTCAGAAACGAAAATGGCAGCTGTTCCCCGCCGCGGTGGCTTTAAATGGTCTTAGACGCGAACTCGAAACTAACCCTCACTGGATGCAGCCAGACGCTTATCGGCTGAAAACTTGGTATCACACTTTGTTCACAAGAACCGGGATGAACTGTATTCCGTTTGCGTGTTTCCGGATACATAGCCGCCCATTTTCCTCCACGTCATGTCCAGTTTGCCAGCCCTGACACTCACATCGTTAAATTTGGATGTTTTTGCGAAACATCGAATTTTTGAAAGCAGTGTACCATGCAGCGTTCAACTCTTCTCCCAGAGAGAAACTACAGGCCTGCTCGATTCAAAACAGCAGTGTGAAAAAACCATTACTGCAAAACGGCATATCTCGTTAGGCTTAAACTTTGTCGACATCAAAACACGGATGTCTAGAAATATATACATTCATGTACTAAGCTTATGGTCAATTTCATGGCAGTACCAAGCGACATTATTTTTCAACCCAACGTTGAAAACAGAGCTCTTCTGTCTCATGTTATTGTCGTGCGATTAGTATTCACATCATAACACTTTATCTCATTTACTTCTTCTAAATTGCAGAAACTCTCAGAATTTATTGATAATTAATTTTGTTACCTGTGACACAGCATGAGGTGAGAAACGTTTGTTTATGACGGCCGTTTTCCAGTTATTTAGATCGATGAAAGTGGCCCAATTTGGTGGGCAGTTGTGCAGGTGGTTGATTTCCTAGTGTAGAAGTTAATCAAATATTGCAAATCCAGAATTTTTTTTTTTCAAAGCATTACTATCGCCTCAGCTGTTGGAGTAAACTGTTCAAGGCAACATTCGGACAAAGAAACGTTTTTGAAAAAGGAGTTAGGCTTGATGAAATGTCATCAAACGGGAAAGTGCTGACTTTTCCTGTTAAAATTCCTCCATTCCGTCAACTTCCTTCATTTGTATATTGCTTCGAAAGTTGAGCATGGAAACATTAGTGTTTTCAAAAGCTCAAATGCGTGTGATGGTATTGATGAGGGCTGCAACAGGTAAGATGTTAAAATGATGAGATGGCGACAGCTGATATGGAAGCTAATTATGATCGACAAGGATGAGTTTCTCAGCTGAAGCATTGGGGATATTTATCCAAGATGAATGTTCGAAGAGAAAGATCGGAGAAAATTTCGAGAAGAGCTCTTCAAACTTTCTTCAGAAAAGCTTTCCCGAACTAAAACTCTCGAATAAGAGAGCAGAGAGATGTGATGGTGAGTTGAAAACAATTCAGCTGAAGTATTTAGCTTAGGGTCGTACTTACTAGAACTCCTGTAGCGGGGTAAATTCTCTTCCAGCAATGCTTTTAGATTTGCCGCTCCAGGAAGGTTTCAGGTCTTGCCACTCCTCCGACGTTATCATCAATGTTCACCAAAAGTCTCCAACTAAGTCGTGTTTCACGTTAGTTTTGTTTTTGCAACCAAAAAATAATGCGGGTTTTAATCATCCCGTAAACCGTCGCAGGCTCTGGCTTCTGTCGCAGGCAAAAATGCCTCAATCTGTGATACACAAAGGCTTGGCTCTGATCCAGATACCATCTCCAGCAAAAGATCTACTGTATGTTTAGCGAAGTCATTTTATTTTCCTTGACTACATTATTGATCAAAATAAAAAGGGCATGAACTTTTATTAAAAGTCTTATTTTGTATGATCCAGTCCCCACGATTACGACAAACACCCCCTCCAACCGAGATATTACTGCTAGCTATACTGTCCAATCCAGTGCGTCAATCCATATTTGACCAGTTAGCTCCGGTCTGATTGCTGTCTTTTTATACATATTCATAGAGTGCAAAATACATTATTAACACTATTTGCACCTGTTTGAAAGCGGTGATCCAACAAGTCAGCTCCTGCTAATGATGCAGTCAATGCGAATGGATTTCTCGTTCAGAAAATGCAATAGCTCACAATCTGAGCAGAATGCTAGATTACGAAGATTGGTTTCTAGCAGATTCCTTATTCCTAAGATTTCAGAGGCTCTAGTGCCCACATGCAGAGGATAGGTTTGCCAATTCACTTAACAAGTTGCCCGGCTTTGATTCCAGATTGTGGAATCCTGGGTTAGAAAGGGTAGATGCGTTTACTTGTTGCTGGTCTGACAAGAATAACTGGATAGTTCCGCCTATTTCCCTCACAGCAAAAATCATTTTGCATATCAAAGCAAATAAGGCATTTGGGCACCTTAACGGTACCTAATTGGTCATCAGCACCCTTTTGGCCATTGCTCATCAAGTCATAGATTTTACCACAAGTCATAGATTATGGACATTTTCCTGCATCATCGGATTCTTTTTTGGTGGGACACAACAATTGTCCGCTGTTCAAAGAAAACGAACCCTATTTTTGCATGATTGCACTGCGACTCTCAATCAAGCAATAATGAAAAAATTCCACGTACCACTTACAACCATAGATTGCTGGATTTTTATGTGGCTTACAGATCCTCAGGAATTAGGTGGAAAATGTATTGTATGAGGTTACAGAGCCATGAGAAGTGAATAATTAAAGCGTCGGGGTAAAAAAATCTCCTTAGGCCCCACAATGTTGTATAGTGAGTGCAGACCAATGAGAATGCAGATTATGTTGTGAATTTTGGCTGCAGAGCCTTGATAACGCTGTAGTTATTACGTCACGGCTACATAGCCAGGTGAAGACTAAACTTATTTGTGTATGGCTGCAGAGACTGAAGGCTTTTTGAGATATGTACATCACATTTACTAACTTTGCAGATAATTACATCACGGCTGTAGAGCCATGAGAACACTGGAGAGATTATCTGTTTTGTTTTCAAGGTTGAAGAGCCTTGATAACACTGGAGATCACGGCTGCAGAGACATAAGAATACTGGACTGCGGACACGGACGTGTATAATAAAGTCTGGACTCGCAATGCCCTTAATCAGCTTATAGAGTCATTGAATCCACTTGCGGCCATTTTACCGAGCCGAATACAAAGCTTCCCTGGCAATGCCCGCCTTTGTTCTTCCTGACGTCTATAGAAGGGAGCCAACCCACGCTTTTGTATTCGGCTCGGTAAAATGGCCGCTGGTTTGCTTCTTTTTCATGCAAAGGCGTTGCAAGTCCAGGTTTTTTTTATATACGTCCGTGCCTGCGGAGCACAAACCATACTATATTCTGAATCAATTATGGCTGTTGAGCAAGATAACACGGGAGAATACAACCTTACAGATTTTGAATCCAATATGAATTCGACATGGTAAAATGATTAAAAGTATGAAAAGGGGCAATGAAGGTTGACTAAATAAAGCTATATATAGTGCGATGAGCGAAATAATTATACATTTTTTTTCTCAGGTGCCTTTGCAGGATATGTCTCAATCTATTACCGACCCAGTAATTAAAGATCTCCTCAGCAGGCTTCCCCAGGTGGTGATGATGGACAGAGCAGACTCCTCCGTCCAGCAATAATGTCATGGATTTTCAACGCTGGAAATCTTGGGCCGCGGCTAGAACACGACCAGTTTCAGTTCTTCCAGCCTCATCACTCGATGTTGCCTTGCACCTCCTCGGCATCATGCAGTCGGCAAACTCTGCTGTACCAGTTCCTACAGCCTTCCATAGCATCGCATGGGCACACAGGTTAGCCTCCCTGCATGCCTCAACAGATCACATGTTGCCCAAATCTGTCCTTGAAGCGACCAAAAGAACTTTATCCATAGCGAATCTCAGGAAAGAGTATCTCTCTATGGTAATGATTCAACAGCCCTGCCAAAAATTCCCAGTGTTGTCGACAGACCTGTATAAAACAAGATCGCTGGCCATCATTGTACAATGTAGTCGGTTTCGCCGGTTTCTTCAGGTTTAACGAGCTGGTACATCTCAAACGATCGGATGTGATTTTCTTAAATTCATACGCCCTTATATTTGTTGACAGAGCAAAACAGGCAAATACAGAGATGGCTCGGTGATAATCAGCCGCTCAGAATACAATACGTGCCCAATATCGATACTGGAGAGCTACCTTTCAGTAGCACAGATCGCAGACTCTTCAGACTTGTATACCTTTCCAACGTCAACGGGAAAGAAGGCTGGAAACTACGCAAGGTCAGTTCCCCAATTTCGTACACGAGGACTCGCGAGTTATTCCTTGAAATGCTGAAGGAGGTGGTTCCAGATACAAGTAAATTCGGTTCACATAGTTTGCGCTCCGGAGCCTACCTTTGCAGCTGAAAGTGGCATGCTGGGTATGTAAATGGGTTTCAGATGTGGCAGAAGATTACATCAAAGAGGCTACACATGAAAAGATTATAGTACTGAAATCTTTGGGTAGGTAACTTATATTAGTCCTTTAGAGTGAAACAAGTTTTTTTTTTCTACGGGCTCTATAAGTCCTTATAGAAGTTGGCTCACAGCAATTATTGAATTTAGTATTTGTTTTTGATTCCGTATAGACTGATTCATAAAGATTCAGTAAGCATCTTATTCTAATATATTTGTACACAGGTGACATTGAAATCACAAATATATAGAGCTGCTCCCTACTCTGCAGTGGTTGGGGTCTGGCCAATGGGAGTCTACAGGCTTGTGGTGTGTGCCTAGCGTGAGGATTACATGGAATCTTTGCCAAGTTGGCCTAATGGATAAAAGTTATGATCGTATTTGGTGATATGTGGAGACTTCCATCACTGTGTGGTTGACACCTGGGTATAATTATTAATTAATAAGGCTGTTTGTTGAAAACAGTTGTCTTATTGCCTCTGTAATTTGCCATAGGATTGTTTTCAAGTAGTGCACGTTATTGTCCGCACTAACCATCACAGCCATTTTACTGTGGCGTCGTGGTGCAGCTACACTTTTGAGTCACCTCGTAGGCGGGTCTCGCTGTTTCTTTACAGATGACAAGCTACTATGCTCTTATGCGCTCTCCAACGTTTTATTATCAGTTGCCAGGAGTGCCAATGACACATGACGAAAGACCTGGCCTGAGAAATTACAGTGAGTGGGAATAGAACTTGTAGGCTACTCAACTGGTCTCTGAGAACCCTTTGAGTTTATGTATAGAATTCAGTGTTTCTTGAAAAGAGATAATCAGGCTGAAAAGACTCGATAAACGCTCAGTAGTGGACGGTCAATCAACCTCTCGCGAGTACCGGCACCATTCCAAACTGACTAACGCGCACGCACCCTGTGCTATCATTTGGTGCTAACTGCATGACAATACAAAACTTTGCCAAACGTACGGTGAGCCAAAGAGACTACACTAGCTGTATAAAATAACAGGAATCCCTAAGTTACAATCCAAGAAAGAGCAGGAACACTGTGATCCTGGTTTGGTATAAGCCCACACAATACAGCCGCGGCAGATTCCACACTCACGGAACTGTAGAGTTCTACCTTTGAGTTTGGCTCCACCTGCAAGACTTTTTTTCAGAGACCACTGACTTACCTTTGACTACAAAAGAACTTTCAACAACCTCAAAGGTCCTTGACAAGAGGCTCAGTTGAAGTTTGGAAACCCTAACTATCGTATAATTCAATTCGTTGGCGGTAAATTCCAACGCGTCGTCAAAGGCCATGCGGTAATGCGCAATAACACTGCCGCTCCTGGGCCCACAACCCACTCACTTGACAATCTCTGTAGGCATCTTTCAGGTCAGAATATTTCAGGGTCACTTGGAGCTGAGGAGTTAAAATGAAAGTGGTTGTTTGACTTAAGTAGGTGAATGATCAAGTTCATCAAGCTAAGTAGAAATGATTAAGCTCGTCAGGCTAGGTGGCTTGGAGCTCAAACACACAATCCCCGACCTTCCTCCCATTGGCGTGTCAAGCGGCGGAGTTGCTCCAGGAGGCGGACATGGTGCTATTTTTTAAGGAACAGAAAACGTCAACACTTAAGAAACGGCTATGTGCATCTTCCTATCTTTGCACATTTAAAAAAAGATAAGGTCATTCGAAGGGAAAGCATACATGGCCCTGCGTGGCTTCGCTGAAAGGGCAGACCTTGCTGACACGTATTATTACTATCCACGAATGACCCAAGTTGTGTTGGGGGGGTGCGCTGTTGAAATACCAGACTCTCTCATTCATGTAGTGGCTCACTGGAGTAACGGGCCCTTGTGGAAAGTGTTAGCACCCATGGAGGCTACTAGCTACCAGCTGGAGTCTTTCCCCGTAGAAGTGTGTTATCAGCCATGGCTTCAGGACACATTGATAAAACCTGCATCCAATACAGTCCACCATGTTTCATTCATTTGTGCATTAGGTTCCTTTGAGGCGACAAATTACACCAAATCTAAAGAAGGGTGCCTGAGAACAAACCTGACGCAGTTTCAGCTCGGTGAATTTTGCATAATTATTCTCAGGCTGAGAAAAACGATATTTTGATTACAGATCAAAAGTTGCTGGGTCATGTTTTGAATTGCGCCTGAATTCAGCGTCTGGGACTTACGTTCAATTGAATGCAGCTCTGCGATGTCACGCGCTGGACCGACAAAGCATATATGCTGCATGCCTGTGAACATAATTGTGTCAAAGCCCGCCAGCGCTTCTCATGGCCAATTTTCCAAAATGAGTCTTTAGACGCATCATCCGAAAACAACCACTTCAAAATTATAATGCTTTCTTCAAAATGACAGTTTACCAGAAAAGAATAATTTTACAGGGCGTTTAGGCCAATCATTATTAGACCAAACATGCTTTTCAGCAATAATTTTCTCAGTTACTGTTTTGATCTATTTAAATTATAGACTGTAGCTTTTACCTGCGCCTTGAAAACATTCAATTTTAAATCTAGATCCCTTTTCTCAGAAAATGCAGTGTTTACTGAGCTGAAACTTCATCACGTTAGTTGTTTGGAACCCATCTTTAGATTTTGAGCACTTATGTTGCTACAAAGGAGGATATTGCACAAATGACAAATAGTGGACTTTAACCTTTCTATGCGCATCGCACACACACTTTGAATTGTTAATTTGCTGAGTACCGTGTCAAAAAGGTGTCATCAAATTGTAGATAACTTACTGCGTCACAGACATTTTTACCAGCACTCATTGAACGCTATTTTAGATTTCTGTAAGGCAAAAAAAAATAAATAACTCGGTGTCTGGTCAGACCAATGTTCCAGAATCCATGCGGCAAGGGGGGGGGGAAGGATGGGGTTGGCCTTTTAAGACTGGCATTGGACACGGAAATGAGTGGCATATTTAATCAAAGAGCAAAGGCTAGTAGTAGCACGTCGCGCGTCATGCCGCCATTGTTGTTGATCAGCTGGCTGCAACTTTGTAACCTACCCGTGGTCTACTGTTTGTGTTCGACATCAACATTACGCAGTCGTAATGGATCAAGAACTACCCACCAATTAGTCTGGTTCCTTGAAAAAAAAAACTTGCCCTTCTGCCTTGTGGAGCTATGTGAACTTGCGGCCGGGAATCAGTCTACTCGCAAACATTCAGGCAAAGCGAAACTAGAGGGCGCTGTTTTGAACATTTTGAAAAAGAAAATGGGAAAAAAAATTGACGCGCACGTTCAAAATCGATGCACGCGCTGACCAGAGACCGACTATTTTTTTGGCCTAATTCACATTGGTAATGAATGACGTTTCAGTAAAAAAAAATGCGCTTCGATAATATCCTTTTAACTAGATGCTACTTGGCCCAGTCACTTGTTATAAACTAACTTACTCGGACTTAAGTGGACGATATATCTGGAAAATATTCCTGCGTTGCTCCTTCCCTGCCCATCCCTGAAATTTGAAAACAAAAATGCCCCTCTCCAACAAGGCATAACTCCATTCAAAGAACGCAAGTTGTTTTCTTGATACAAGTCTCCTGTTTGTCTCTACATTCAGAATGGCCTCCATTACGATGAAGAAATGTTCAGTTTAGATGTGGGAGGAAAACCCCGGATAAATGTTTCGGGGAAACCCACAGATCCCAATAGGGACTGAAAACCTAATCCACACGTGGACCAAGCCAGATTGCAACCCGGCACCCAGAGGTGGAAGGCAAGGAAAGAAACACTACGCCAACCCGACTCCTCTTTCAGAATTCCTCTAGGGATGATCACTTTAGATGGATTCATTCCCAAAGCTTATCCCAAAAGCTGCGGTTTATGCATCAAAACTTTTACTGAAAATGCAAGTTGAGTGAATCGGCTTAATTTGAAGTGCGTCTTATAGGTCCATGGGAGAGTTTATTCTTCTGATTTTTGAAGTGACGGTATTTATTACAGTTGTCAGTGGTGTCGTATTGAATGATCTGCATCCGTCTGCCTGCTCAGGTGAGATAATTCCCCCAGGGCCTTGAAACGGATTGATCGACACGCTTGAATGAGGCTGAAGTTCCTGTCACGGCGATCACGCACCAGACAGAATCATATCAGCTGGGCCGCGCTCATAACAGAGAACAGCTTCCTCTCTTTGAAAATGACGTAATAGCCAGCATCAATCAAATCGCAGAATCTGGTGTGTCGAGGGTTGCTTTCTACTGTAACTTGACATCTCCGAGGACAGTGCTAGCTCCCTGCACGATTGTTGCGCTTATGTAAAGGTGGCATCCAGTGACTGGAACTGGTTGAATGACAACAGTTTCCATCTTCACTTTTCAGCTAGGGTCTAACCCAGTTTAAAATCAGGTTCATGGACAGAATCAGTCACTGGCTCCTCTCTGCCAGGCTATTACGAGTGCAATATCCCTCAGGCTGAAAGCTCCTCCTACAAACTGTAAATCATACTATTTAAAACTCCCTTTGACACATGTCAGAAGATTTATCTTTCTATTAAATTGGTTTTCACCTTCAACGGACAATTATTGGTATTATTCATCGTATTTGTTTCCTTGACATATTTAAACAAAAAAGCTGGGTTCGTTTAATCATCACGATTCATGTTTTTATTACATTTTTTTCACTTAACAATCCATAGTTCAAAACTGAAGTTGCAGCAACAGAGAACACTTTAAGAGTAAATAAAGGCGCTTATTTTACAAATCCTAATTTGCTCTGATATGCAAATGTGAATGGAAATCAATAGCAAAACCACCCATGCAGCCACGAATAATAACAGAGTTACTAAATTCAAAACCGAACAGCTGAGGATTTCTTCACTTAACTTAAACAAACAATCTGTCGCAATTCACAACAATGATGACTGACGAAATTGATACGGTTGAAAACTGGAAATAGCCACGGAGATCGGATATTTACAAGTTTTATCTTCCATGGATTAGAGGTGTGCGTATACAGAAGGGAAACAGATATACCCTTTGACGTGAAAGACAGACACCCGGAACCCCGTGGATAAAATTGAACCCCTAACAGAAAAGCGGTAAAAGGATCAGCCAACAATCCTCCAACAATTTCTAAGCTATTCTTTGGAATGAGATCAAGCATACACATTAACATATCAGCTAAATGAACACTGTGAGTCACAACAAACTCGGACAAGATATTTATCAATCAATATTACAGTCCATACCCAACTGCAAAATGACGCCAGAAGGCTGTCTGATGGAGATAGAGTTTTTTCAATACAAACACACACCTACACCCATATTAAGTTTTGCTGAGGAAATACCTAAGATGCAACAACCTATTATTTCAGTTTCGTTTTCAACTCCCTGTGTTACAGCTTTGCCCATGACGTTTATAACTGCCAAAAGGAATCCAACGGGTAAATGACTCGATCTGAGTCACCGCAAGCAACTGACTCGGCTTGACTCAACACTAGACCCTCCTCAGAAATATCGACTTGACCAAAAGCTAAAAAGACCTCGATTCTCAAAATAAAAGTATCGTACCGATCCATCATGTTCGTGTCACGTTGTCTGGGTACACAGTGCCTCGTATACCTTATGGCTCTGTGTCATGTGAAGCTACTTCGGAAAAATATTCAAACAGAAAAAAACAAAGGCTGATATCTAATTAATTAATCAGAAATAGATTTGTACAATGTAATTAGAATTTGACGTAGTCAGCGAGCAGCGCAAAAAGGTCCAAATCTGAGGCCGAATCTAAGATCTAAGATCAGTTTTACTTCCTGTTATCTGCGAGCCAGCTTGGCTGTAAAATTCCCTGTCATGGTTTTTGCAACTACACTTCTCTATTCCAGACGTTTCTGCTGTAGGATATAAGCTACGTATACACCATAGCAATGCCCCTGCCCTTCTTTCCAGGTTGACGGGTTTAGGGACCATCGTAGTGTGAAATTTAAACCCCATGAAATTCAAAATCATTGGTGGTATTGCGTATGCCTCGTTGGACAAAAATTAAAATAATCGAATGCAGATAAATTAGAGTGTTTGAGACCATGTGTAGTAAATGAGACAGATTTCAACGGTGTCCACAGTTCCTGCGACACCACCCCCTGCCGACCTCGACAACGCGGTGATTAAGGTGCAGCAGCCACCGCGGACCCTGCAGCTTTGCACTTCACGACGACAACGCCAATGACCACGCCCCCGAGGATCACAAAGGCTGCTGCGCCGACAGCGATACCTGCAATTGCTCCCGGGGACAGGATGGTGGGCTCCACAGGTTGTGGTGTTGCTAAAAGACGAGAAAAAAACCGAACGTGCCTTGTCACTTGTGAACCCTGAAATGTGTTTTGAACAGGGGAACATTTGTATCATTGGTCTCTTCGTTTGGATGTCATCCCTACGTAGTTTCAAATTCAGACAGCACAAGTTGTACACGCAGTTTCAGAGAATGTTTGACTTGATCGTGAAATCCCCCAGGTGGGGCAGGTGCCATGAACCCCAAAGAATGGTTTTGGGTTTTTTTCTGTTGATTAGAACAAGAGAAAGAAAACTGTATTGTTGTTTTTAGGCGGATTTCTAATTTCCGTACCTCCACAAAGCGTGGAAAGAGCCCCATAAATTAGCTCTTCACCTTAACCAAAAATTGACTCCGAAAAAGTGGTTCCCGATTCAACGTAGGGAAATTCTGAGTCAAAGCAGCATACGAAAAACTCCGTGAAAAAAACACACCTGTTATTATCATTATTATTATTATTCACATCATCTTGTTATAGGAAAAACATCAACTGGTTTTGTTTTCCACTTACCAGTTGCTGTCTGCTCGGGCTCTGGAGACAAGGGAAAGACAATTCAAGACAATAAAACAGATGCTGAAAATATAACAACTATTCAGTACAATGCTGAGAGAAACAATCACCTCAGGACAGGTCCATTCCTGTCGGAGATTTGTAGGGAAGCCGCCGGACACCTCATTTATTGTGGCGCAAATATGTGCTGGAAATTGGAGGGGATGGGGAAAGGTGATTGCCTGACCATGGAAATTTGAAAGGGGGGGATTGCGACACCATATGCGCTATATTGGGGGCGATGTTTATGATATTAAATTCATACATTAAATTCATGTAAAAACTTACATGAGAACGGCATATTTATAGTCCTTTAATTGTTTTCCCCTTTTTTATTGATATTGCAAGGGGAGTAAAATCAAATCCTTCACAATCCACCTTAGTTGTTTTTTTTTTCATCACTAAAAAAGTGAGGGATAACTCAATAGCCCATCCCCCCCACCTCAAAGGTGGGGGATATATGCCCCCATCGACGCTGATTATTTTATTGGAATCACCACTCACCTGTGACTGTTGTAGATAAATCTGTTGCATTGGCTGTCGATACATCTGTTACAGTAGCTGTCGATAAATCTGTTCCATTGGCTGTCAGTGAATCTGTTGCACTGGCCGTCGATGAAATTACCGTCGTCACATCTTCAGTGGATGTTGTACCACTGGGGGAATCGGTTGTTGATGCGCTACCTCCCGTTGCAGTATCTGAAACTGGGGTGGTGACATATTTCGACGTGACAGTGGTGGGGGTGTGGTCGGTTGGTTCACTGACGGTCGTGGTACCACTGGCTGTGGAATCTCCACCCGTAGTAGTTGTGGTAATTCCGTCCGAGCTGGATGCTGTATCTGTTGTAGTACCGACTGAGTCTGTAGTCATGTCAGTCGGAGCTGATGTCGCAGTAACTTCCGTCGTTTCTGTTGAACTAGCCACAGTTGTTGTCTGTGCAAAGATTTCTCAACACGAAATAAAGTCATTTGTTTTTAATTTTCAGTAAGTTTAAACTTTGGGGAATTGTTACAATGAAAACTTACTGTCTTGGTTGTTGGCCAATGATGTTTTCTGAACGCCTGGTAGCGGCGTAGCCAGGGTTCTCATATAGCACTGGGGCTAGTGGGGAACAGGATTTTCAGGGGGGTGCAGGTCGCAATATTTTCTTAATACAACTATGATTTTCTTTGTTTTTCACATTTCCAGCGGGGCTATGATTTTCTCATGGGAGAGGGGCATGAGCCCTAATTGATGCCTCGCTGGGCTACATCACTGACAATGGTGCCCAACTCTTTGCAGAAGGTGTGTGCATTTTTTAACCATGGGGGAGGAAGTCCGAAGGGAACAAGGGATGCTTCCCCCGTCTTCAGTGGTCAGTCTGTATTTGTCCTAGGTGGTAAGTGTCTGTGGTTATTCTGTTTGACAGTGTTAGACAGTGGGAATAAAAATATGAAATATCCTCATTTGGGTTGTAACAAACTGAGCACAACTGTGTGCGTGTGTGTGCTCTTGCATGGTATACAGTACATGTCATTGTGTACATGTGCATATTTATCCACGGTTACTTTGACCGGGTAAAAACTACGAACAACTTAACCACAAGAATGATAACTTGCACATGTCAACTTTGTGGGAGGACAGTCAAGCTATAAACAGATATTCAGATGAAGTCCTGTTAAAAAAATATTCATTTTTAATTCCAGAGGGAAAAGGTCCTTTCCAGGAGATACCGTTCTCCTTTCAATATGTCCCCTCACCTGGCACGAGAAATGCTACAGCAGCGATAAGTAGGAGAGCGCCCTTTCCCATTGTGAAGCCAGTCTCAGACCCTTGCCTGCCTTCTTGTAGAAAGACCTGGGAAACAGAGGTAACATGGCTAAAGTGATTTCTGAACAAACATGCAAATTCTCAGAAAAAAAGTTTTAATCAAGATTTGGGCCATATCGATAAATTGGGAGAATTAATGTATAAATTATGCGATGTGCACCTAAGGGCGCTACGACCGAAATGCGCGTTACCGTTGACACTGAGTTGCGATTACTTGCCTGTTGGGAATGCGATAGGGTGCACAGTTTAAACGCTGACGGAGCAGTGGAGCACGATATGACCTAATACACACTGGCCCGACAGTACATGTGGGAGCCTACCTCTGAGCAATAGTTGCAAGGGTTGAGGCAGATCCCCCCCCCAAAAAAAAGGAAAATAAAATACCAAAGAAAACACAAAATGGAAAAAGAGATGAAAGTGAATGAAACTGCGTGAGTGATGAACTGGATGACCATAGCGATTGATGGATGGAACATCCAAGCCGTGGACTAGCTCACGCAGTTGATATGTCATCGAAACAGCCGTCATATCAAAGGTGTGAGCCTCTCCACAAGTTGAGTGCCTGAAGCTGCGTTCTGGACGGGATGGGTGGTCGGTCATTCGGGCTTCGTGGTAAACCGTACTGTTAGTAGAGCGACTCCTCTTTGGTTGTTGTCAAGAGATTTGTCTCCACTGCTGCACCTATTGGTAAAGGGGTTCTGTATCCGCCATTTTGCATCTTGCCACGATATCTCGCTTCGCAGAACTCGTATGTTGTATCCTGCCTCGCGGATCTCGAATTATGCAATTTACAACTCAAATTAAATGTAATACACCAAACATAAATTGTTTATCAGAATTATTCTTTAAATATTTCGTCAATTGGAATTATATGTAAGTGATTGTTTGCCAGTTTGCAATACACAAATAGTCGGAAATCAGGAGGAAAACTGAATTACATAATAGACAAATAAACAGATATAATTCTTTTAAGCCACTTATGTTTACACTTGGTGCCTCACAGCTTTCAAATAAACCGATTTGATACAGTGTTTTACATTTAAAACGAGATTCGCGCTGCGAGATACGAGATGGCAGACAGAGAACACCATAACTGAAACCTCCAGGTTGGTGTCATTCGAGCGTTTCACAGGCAGTCAGGTGGGTAATGCACTTTCAGTTCATATTCCAGCTGTAAAGCGATGGACTTTTTCACCTGATCATAAAGGGAGTCACGTCCATGCTGTACACAGTCTCCCATTGTCTGCAAACTACATGTAGTATTTTTAATGTTTATACGGCAAACGAAAAACTTATAATGTTGTTCGGCTTCTGCAATGAAAGTTTGGGATTTCATGGGTATTATTAGAGCAGATTTTACAATGACGCCGACATCTCTCCCGGAAGTAATGCAGTTTGACTCATGTCTTGAATTGAACTGCTTTAACATAGAGGAAAGTGCAAATTGTTACTCCGTCCTCAGCAATTTTGGGGCTTGTCGACAACTTCTTTTTTTTTCCATCTTGTTAGGTGAGAGTTGTTTCTAAACGGCAAGATCGAATCCCCGTAACATGTGCTCTTGACGTCATACTCCAGCACCCCTGACCAAGATGAAAATTGCCACTAAACTTCTGCCCAAGGTTTGGAGAATGGACAAAATGAACGTTGTTATTGCCCCGGTCCTATAGGTGCGGCTTCGTTGGGCTGGGGGGGGGTTCATCAATCGAAGGGCGCTATGCTTTATTATCAAGAGAATTAATACGATTTCACTAGACCATTGCGTATGATGAGGAAGCACTTCTACTTCAAACCAACGGTGCTACTTTTCCACGCAGAGTAGACGAGTATGTCTTTGAAATGACCTTTATGGAGATTTAAGTGATGATAAACTTATAACAACTCCCTCACAACGAATCTACAAATACATCAAAATCTTTAGCAATACGTCTGCCAAGAGATCGATAGGAGTTAAAATTTCCTTTTGGCAAACAAGTTTTTACCGGTTGCAATGTCAACTCCAAAACCATTCACGTCTAGGGGAATTGATCTGGGAGCAGAATAAAAACTTTTCTAAAGCTTCTGAGTATCTGCACTCTCAGAAAGAGCTCTCTGGTCGACCTTTAACGAGAAGGTCGTCACGGCTAGCATGTCAATCGCTCGCCAAAATTATGATAGTTTTCAAGGGACCCCAATAGGACAACATTCACGACTTGGCCCCCAATTAGTGCGTTTGGGCGTCCATGTTCGCACTGAAATTCCACTTCTCAGTCTTCGGTTGAAAAGTAATTATTCACATCAATATTTGAGTTAAAGAAATCACGTCTTGATGGTACTGTTATCGGTGCCTTTTTCCCAACCAGTAGAGGTACATGTATATACTGGGCTATATTCCCAATGATAATCAATATGTTCAGGCCCAACATGTGGTGCGTATGTGTACAGTATATGTTCGTATACGTCTGACACAGATCCCCAAAAGAAGAAGAATCAAATTTGCCGAGAAAAAACTCATGACGAAACTTTTTTTGCGGCCTAGGGCAAGTAGTGAATTCTTTGTAAGCCACTGACGTCGTTGTTCATGGTTTTGACTTAATGGTGCCTTTTCGTTTTGTGCACGGAAGCAGTGCTAAAGATTTTCAGTGTCCCCTCAAAACTACCACGGACAATACAGCTGAGAACGGAGCTAAACTCAACACATTATGTTCCTGGAATGGTCTTGGATCATTAGCAAAATGTTGCACAAAAATATCACGAATGTTTGTATTAGTAAAATGCTGTATGCAGTTGACGCTAGGTGTGTGTGATTGTTCCTTTATTTCACAAGTGGTCCATTATGTTTGTCAGAACCGTTATTCATTGCCATGTGCTGACAAATACATAAATGAAGTTTGGTTTACTGCAGGTGCAATTCAATTCAAACAGTGGTGCGTGTGTTAAGCGCGAACTAATTGAAATCAAAAGCTAATGTTATGACCAAACATTATCACCAAGCACCGGTTTCTACGTCAACATGAAAACAACCAACCAACAACCAAACAGTTTTATCTTGCAGTAGAATTAGTGTGAACTGTTCTCTCCTTCCCGCTTGTTTGAAACTGGTGAGCAGGTTAATGCTCCACAACAGCGAGTTAGTGGAGTGCGCAATAAAATTTAACGCCATCCATGCTCTCTTTGTGGTCGTCCTTCGAAATTCCTTTCACTGGATAATTGTTCCTCCTGGGCTTGACCTATCTTCTAGTTTGTAAAAAAAAAGAAATTGAAAGATGGAAGCAATAAACAAATACTTAAAAGAGATTTTTTTGTACAAACATGTAATGTACTACGACAAGCTGAGTGATTGTTAACACGGCTACTTTTTCTGAGCAAACATGAAAGAAGAGTAGTCTCTATTTTTGGAGGGAAGCCTAATCCCCAACAACATATATTTCTTAACCTTAAGTTACTCGGTATTTGGATTAGAATATTTCCTTTTCTCAATTTAGTTTATCAGCTGACATTTTACTCATATGAAGAATAAGCGCAAGCTTATCTAATTTCAGTATTAAACAAGATTTTGAAATAGACAAACCACTTCCATTTCTATATTTATATAACGGGTTTTGCCTTTACCAAACGTATATATTATTATAAAGTCATCAGCTTACTCGGGTGGGTAAGGGCAAAACCCGTTATATAAATTAACATCTCCCCAACGCAAAAATACATCTTGAAGACATTTTCATTTCCTTATTTTATTGTTATTTTCCTTCCGGGACTACTATCCCCTCATCCGCGTCCTTTAGACAACCAGGTCGATAAAAATCAAGGCAAGTATAATACCTCCCTTCTGACAAAAATGTTGGAGAAAGACCAGTGATTGTCTGAAGTTTAATTTCCCTTCCATTTGGGTTTACTGTGTTAACAGTAAAACAAAGATACGGTAGCCGATTGTGTCCGCACCAGATTGCGCCCATGACATTAAAGAGCTCATTTCCCAATAGGCTTTGCCTCGGAGATGCACTTTTTTTTTTACAACTGTAGGTTTCTCCTTCACGCTTTCCAGCTGCGGTCCGAGAGTTCCAAAAACTTACAAGCCTGCTCGGGTGGGATTCGAACCCCAGGTTTTCTGCTTTCTTGCTGCAGACGTCTTCAGAGTGACCAGTGACTCTCCGCCTTTTATATGAACCTTGTCCCTGCATCACATCATTGGCTTGTGTACTGTATCAACCCGCAAACTGGCCAATCATCCATGGAAAACAAATATCAACGTTTTCTCAAACTGCAACATAGCAACTTTGCTGCAGTTTTGTGAAAAGTTAGGGAACTTATAAACTGATGTAATCGGGACATTATTACATCATACAAAGAAATCAGCAGCCATAACTTTACACCGTTGCCGTGGCAACTAATGTAGTGGCCCTGGTAAGTTAAATGTTTGTCCGAGTGCAAAGATAAGATCACTATGGTCCCCAAATCCCTGACAAAGTGTGCTACAGAAATCAAATTTTTGCATAAAAGAAAAGAAACCAACAAACATATACGTCATGAGACTTCACGGTAGGACCTAAACGTCACACGATTTTGAAAATGAAGGTCATTATCATAATTAGAATGACTTCACAATTAAGGAATATGACTATGCGTGAAAGTTATAAAGATCAAGATTATAAAGGTGGTGAGAGTGATCATCAAAAACTAATGAGTAACGAAAACTTTTGTTCGGCCCGCCGCGGCGGCTTTAAACAGTCTGAAAACTTGGTATCGAACTTTGTTTTCAAGAATGGGGTAAATCGTATTTCGTTTACATTTTTCCTATGTACAGCGACGCAGTTTCCATCACGTCACGCCCAGTTTGCCGGCTCTGATGTTCAGCTCACTGGCTCTGATGTCCAGTTCATCACATTTTGACACCCATTTCGTTAAATTAGGATGTTCTTGAAAAACGTTTAAGTTTTAAATGCAGCGTGCCACTTTTCCTTGGGGGTAACTACAGGGAAATAATCATTCTTGCGGAACAGTTTATCTGGTTAGGCTAAAACTTTATTGACACAGAGATGTCTGAAAATATACGTGTATAAGCTTTATAGCAGCACCAAAATGACGCTAGGCCTATTTTTTTTTTACCCAATGTCAAAATCAGAGCTATTCAGTCTCATTTTATTGTCGGGTAATTAGTATTCACATCGTGACATTTTAACTCATTAATTTCTTCTAAATTAAGGAAAATATCAGAATATATTGACAATTAATTTTGCAACCTGTGACAAAACATGAGGTGAGAAACGTTTATTTATGAGGGCCGTTTTCCGATTTATTTCGATCGACGAAAGTTGCTTAATTTGGGGGGGGGGCAAATGTACATGCGGTTGATTTCCTGGTGTAAAAGTCGACCAAATATTGCAAATCCAGAATTTCTTTTCAAAGCATTACCCCAGAATGCAAATGTTGAAGTAAATTGGTCAAGGCAATACTTGCCAAAAGTGAATGTCTTTTGACGAAGAACTTAGGCTTGACGCAACTTCGGCGAGTGGTCAAACAGGAAAGTTTTTCCTGTTTATTTCCTCCATTGTGACCCCTCCCTTCATTTGTATATGTGCCGAAAGTCCAGCATAAAAAAAATTTCGCAAAAGCTCAAATTGAGTATGATGATATTGGTGAGGGTTGCCACAGGCAGGACGTTAAAATTACGAGATGGTGACAGCTGGTATGAAGGCTAATTAAGATCATCAAGGATGAGTTTCTAAGCTGAACCATTTGGAATATTTTGGGAAATGAGTGTTCAAGTAGAAAGATCGGAGAAAATTTGTGAACGGACATTTCGAGAAGAGCTCTTTAAACTCTCTTCATCGAACAGATTTCCCGAACTAAAATTCTTGAATGAAAAGAAATTATATAAAGTTAAATAAAAAAAAGAGGCGGAAAGGAGGATAATATACAAGATTAAAAAACTTTTGGGAAGAGATATATGATGACGATAATGAAAGCAACGTCAACTGAAGTATTGAGCTCCAGGTCGTACTTACTATAGAAACTATCGGTGCACTCCTGCAAGGGGGAAATTCTCTTCTAGCAATGCTTTTAGATTCTTCAGAATCGAATGCTGCTCCTGGAAGGCTTTAGGTCTTGCCACTCCGACGTTATCACTTCTGTCGCAGGAAAAATGCTTCCACAACAAAGGCTTTGCTCTGATCCACATACCACCTCAAGTGAAAGATCTAGAGCGTATTCAGTGTATTTGTTTAGTTTTCCTTGACGACACTGTTTATCGAAAAACGGGGCATGAACTTTTGAAAGGAAGTCATATTTTGTATATAACCTAATCCAGTCTGCATAATCAAGACAAACTTTTCCCTCCTACCGCGATATTACCGCCAATTGCCATCCAATCCAGTGTGTCCATTCATATTTGACAAGTTAGCTCCGTTCTGGTTGCTGTTATGCCATGCATATTCAATTAGAGTGCAAAATACGCCATTAACACTATTCACACCTGTTTGAAAGCGGTGATCCAATGACATAATAGGTCGGCTCCTGCAGTCGATGCAAATGAATGCGAGTGCTTTTACTACAACCCGGAAGCAAGCAGGAAAAATTATGTGTGTTGTATTGATCAGTCGCGGTTTCGGCGGTACACAGCCCCGGTTGGCATATTTGGCTTGGCTGATGTTATACCATGAACAAAATTATAGTCCTATTCAGTAAGCGCATGTGAACGGAAAAAATCAGCGATTCAAGACTTCAAAGAGAGGGATGGGGAAATTTAATATTTTGGACTAAGTAATGATAATACAAAGAATGTTTTCTAAATGTACAAGAATGAGTGCAGTTGTGAAATTTCGGATTATTCGTTTCATACGTAATATGAAGCAATGGAATTTACATATAGATTGACAAATAATTTTGTAAGAAGTGGAAACGATTTTGAGAAGAAATCTTTAGTCATTTCATTGGCAATGCTCCCTTTAAAATAAACGTCTGTGGTGACCAAGAGCCAAACTACGTTAAAGATATGAAGCTTTTGTGTAAGAAAAACCCCGAACTATAAATTATAAGTCCCCAAATTCGGGATTTATAGAAATATTTCTATGATCCCTCATGATTATGGCATATCTTATTGTAAGAACACTGTGGGATCACAAAATATTAATGAGCTCGCGCACAGAAATACAACGATTTGGTGGAATGCACCCTATTAAGCACGGGGGCAGTCGGTAAGGGCGCCTGGGCGAGCCGCCATCTTGCCCGGATGGCCACCATCCTGCCGAGATCGGCCTCCCAAACCGCGCCCGTGCCACGTCTGCCCATTGGCGGCCCGGTGGCCGTATCGAATGGTCTTTGTCATTCCGCTCGTGACTTCGTCACAAAAGCGGACGCGCCACGATTGGCAGGCTCTCATTGGGCGATCGCTGAAGTTGCGCGTTAACTTCCGGTTCCATGTAAACGGTGATTACTGCGTGTAACTCAGAAAAATATGAAAGGGCTGCATGGCACTGTGATCAGAATATTTTCAAAAATATAATTTGTAATCAGTGCTCTGAATTATGTAATTGCCGAACTTTCGGTAACTGGGTAAATTCGTCAGGACAGGCAGATTCAGTTCTGAATGAACGTAGACAAATCCACGTTTATTCCCCCGGATGCCGCGTTCCAAGTTCGAAATTGACGCGCTGCTCTAGTTCCTTGCGCTGTACATCAGATGGCGCTTTCCGCAGGATGCAGACGCTTACGTCACAGAGAGTATGAGGCGGCACGCAAAAGTGCTGCGCAACAGTGAGACCGGGATATAGACGAAAATATAATATATAGTCAGAGCTGTGAACTGTAATTGCCAAGATTGCGGTAACTGGGTACTTTCGTCAGGGCAAGCAGATTCAGTTCAGCAGATTCAGACCGGGTGTTTGTTGGCGTACACTGCGCAAGTGTTCCACGAAACGGTCACCACGGCAACGCTTGGTCTCTCCGAAGTACAGTTTGCCACAGCGACGACACGTAATGCAATAAACCACATTACTAGTAATGCATGATCCCCGCGTATTCTGTAGCTACCGCAGGGGCCGATGACCGACGGGCTGTTAACTATGTAGGGGGCAGATGTTACATCTGCGGCGCCGACAAGGGGAATTGCTGCCTGCGTGTGTTGACGGCGAGGCAGAATCTAACTGGGAACGTACATCCCCGACAGAACGATCGCGCCTAAACACGCAAATCGGGGGTTTGGTGAATCTGGAAGCTATATAGTCGCGTCATCCCCGAGTGTACGAAAAATGTTTAAGAAGAACATTACGCACTGGGATGTTTCGAGGGTGGTATGCGAGTACTAGGGGGACACGATCACGTTGCTTGGCCCCGGTGGGTTTCAGGGCCGTTTCGCGCAGGATTGAAGATATATACGGCGTTGAAAGCACCGTCTGTGATAGCCGGAGGGCAACCGCGCTGATGAAAGAAACCTAGCATTTCCTTCCTAAGCGCAGAGAACTCAGCATCGTTGCTACAGATCCTACGCAGTCGAAGAAACTGAGAGTAAGGGATGGAGTTCTTGCACTTGAGGGGGTGAGACGATGGTACGTATTGCAGGTAGCTGTGGGAATATGTGGGTTTGTAATGCACGGTTGTGCCAAGTTTCCGCGCACAGATCTGGACGTGCACGTCGAGGAAGATAACAGAGTGCTGTGACGTATAGCGCAGTGCTGGGTGAAAAGCTAAAGCATCCGCAAACGCTAAGAAATTCTCAACGTCATCACGCGTACCGGTGATAGTACCAACTATATCATCGATGTGTCGTCGGTACATTAACGGCTGCACGCCCTAATACTGGGTCAGCATCTGCTCCTCGATGTGGCCAACAAGCAGACAGGCATAACTTGGTCCCATCCGTGTGCCCATAGCCACCCCACTGGTCTGAATGTAGTGCTCACCGTTGAACGTGAGCACCAATTCAGCCAGACGGAGCAGAGTGCTGGTGGGAGGATCCTGAGTCTTGTGGAGATCTAGATAGCGTTTGAGCGCAGCCAAACCACCCGCGTGGGGAATGGATGTGTCAAGCGATTTCACATCCATGGTAAAAAGAAAGTTGAACTGGGAATTCAAGTTCATCGAACAGATGTAGAGCGTGGTTAGTATCCCTGTCATAGCTGAGGAGCGTTTTGACAATGGGTGGTAAAATGGTGTCAAGGAAGTTGGATATCAATTCAGTGGGACAAACACAATGGGGTGGCCTGGATTTCCGGATTTGTGAATTTTGGGTAGCAAGTAGAAGATTGCCGTGCGTGGGTTGGTAACATCTAGTTTGGCTGCGTCGGGGGAGGTCACCAGAGTCAATGAAACCTCGGACAGGGTTAGCAACAATATCTTGATGCTCTTGTGTAAGGTCGCGGTCAGACAGTTGACGCTCCGCTTCAGCGACATACAAGTCCTTACGCCAGACCACCGTAGCGCCACCCTTGTCTGCTCTCATGATGACAATGGTATCATCGTTCGTGCTTTGCGTTCAGCCGATGAAATGTTGATTTGAAAATTCAAATTTTCGAGTTTACAATACCCCTTTTTTAACGTTTGGAAATGTAACCTACACAGACATTTTTCACCCAATTTCCTCCCAATGTCACTTATGATTAACAAGAAACATATTACAAAATGAAATCTGAAGCCTGACTCTATTTCTCTGGTATAAATTCAGCACACTTTTACACGATGCAGAAGAACAGTTTGCTGGCAGGCGTCGCCATTTCTACGAGCAACAGAAAGTGACCACGACTTTGCCAAATTTCAGCGCATGCGCACAAACTCAGTGGAAGGGGTGAACATACGTGACGCGTGGTACCATTTGCGACCTCCCTGTTTGATTGGTCCACAGAAGATACGAATATTCAACCTCTGTTCCCTGGTCCCGCATTGTTTTATCTAAGTTTTTTCGTGTAAGCCCATAACGACGCTGTACCAGCAGCAATCCATGTCCTTCCCAAGGTGCCGGTGCCGCAGACGATCTCAGTTTGTTACTCTGCTGACGGCATGCCATCTAATCCCATTGTCAATATACCACTGCCACAGTGCCTGAGTACATGCCCCGCTTGGTCAGTACTAGATAATAATAATACGACAATCAACACGCAAATTCATTTTAACCCCGATTTTCACTGAGAGCTGGGTATGATTCTGGGGGGATTCTGAAGTAACGTCCAATGGATATTTTGAAAAGGGCCCACAAATTATGCCCTATTCTTCTGATCCCAGGCCTGAGTAACTGGTATCATTCCCGGATACAAGTATCGGCCAGCCACAATTTCACTTTCACCCTATGAAAATAAGAGTAATGAATATTATTACACCCTAGACGATGCACGTCAAGGTGAGCATTTATTGTAAATTATAATACAGGCAAAATACAGGGCAATATGGAAGGGTTGTGTAGCACCGTGATCAGAATAGTGATAAGAACATAGTATAAAATCAGTGCTCTGAAACATGTATTTGCCAAAAACATGTTTCAGGGCGCTGATTTTATATTATCTTCTAGTAAAAATACAGGGTCATTGCTTGAAACGAGTATCGACGATTGATAAGGAAGACTTCAAGCTTGCAGTCGGAAACTGTTTCTAAAGTTCGGTGCCCTCTCTGCTAAAATTCTCCCCCACGTTATTGTTTAATGATACAGTTTCTAAACTGGATGCTACTTGGTCCACTTGTGATAACCTAACTTACTCACACTTAATGAGAGAATATTTTATCTGGAAAATATTCCCGCATTGCTCCTTAATTCCTTTACATCCTTAACTGAAATTTGAAAATAAAAACGCGCCAGTCCAACAAGACCTAACTCTGTTCAAAGAACGTAGGTTCGAATCCATGTCGTAGAGCTTTCCTGATTCAGGTCTCCTGTTTGTCTCTACTTTCAGGAAAGCCTCTAGGGTGGGGCAAGCGCATAGGCCTAAAATAGACGACATGGACCAAATCACGATTTGCATGCCCCTACAATCCTCTGTTATTGTTACCAGTGAACTTCATATTATTACTTCTTATTATTTATATCTACTCATCCAACAGCGCATTCAGCGCCAATTACAGGATGTTAATAAGTGAAGAAGACAATGAAGAAATGTTTAGTTATAGAGGTGGGAGGAAAACCCCGGATAGATGTTTCGGGGAAACCCACGGATTCAGGTAGCGACTGAAAACGCAATGCTCACCTAGACCAAGCGGGACTCAAACCCAGGCCCCCAGAGGTGGAATGCAAGGAAAGAAACACTATGCCATTGAACCTAATTACCCTTTAAACCGCGGCTGCACATTTACTGGGCTGCATCCGTCTGCCTGCTCAGATGAAATTATTCTCCCAGGCCCTGAAGCGGGTCAACCGACAAGCTTGAACAAGGCTAAGTTCGCGTCACGGTGACATGATCACGCACGAGACGGAATTCACATCCGCTGGGCCGCGCTCTTATAGCACCCTTTGAAAACAGTTAAACGAAAGTTGAAAACGAGGTCAACTGAGACAGAAAGGTGCCTTTTGAAGGTTAACCTGAAAACAAATTAATTGTAGCTGTTATTGAAATAAAAAGTTGCAAATTCAGATTATAGATTGAAAAAAATCCATGGATTCGACCTTGAAAATTGCCTTGGGAGTTTTGCGCTCAGAAAAAAAAAATAGGTGAGGGAAAAATCTAAAGGTTATGTAGTGTTGACCAAGCATTCAGGCCCACGGACTCCTGAAATTCGCAAGGAATCGCAGTTACCGGCTTCCATATAGGACTCTTCTGGGATCTCGGGGTTCCCGGCCCACCGCACTTCCTCCCTGCCCATCCATTTAACCCCAAAAAGGGTTCTAGCGACCATGCAAGGGAGAAAACGAGTGTTCCGGACCATTATGTCCGCAGGGCCCATTATGTCCCTAAACTTTTTCAGGCCCATTATGTCCGCCCCATTGTGTCCGCAGGCCCATTATGTCCGCCCCATTGTGTCCGCAGGCCCATTATGTCCGCCCCATTGTGTCCGCAGGCCCATTATGTCCGCCCCACGTTGTTAACTCTTCATTTTTGAATGTGGAGAGCACAAATGAAGCAATAAAATGAAGTTTTATGATAAATTTCCACCCGAGTGTCTACTCTGATGAATGATTTGAAATACATGATTCAAGACATAGAATTGTACATCGCCAGATTCTGAACATTACTGAAAGGGAGGCTTGGAACGCAAGGTACGGAACTATAAAACAGTCTGGTGCCATCCTAATCGACAGTTTGCAATATATATAACAGATTTGGGGAATAAGATCAAAAATGGCCTCCACGTGAGTAGGGTCTATTATGCAATCGTACCAATGCATGTGATGTTTTGAGGGTGAGTTCGGCGCATTTGATGCTCATTTCAAGTTAGTGTAAATT